GGGTTTCACCATGTTGACCAGGATGGTCTCGATCTCTTGACCTCGTGATCCACCCGCCTCGGCCTCCCAAAGTGCTGGGATTACAGGCTTGAGCCACCATGCCGGGCCTCATTTACCTTTACAATTTTTTTTTTGAGACGTGGCCTCTCTTGGTAGCCAGGCTGGAGTGCAGTGGGGTGATCTCAGCTCACTGCAACCTCTGCCTCCCGGGTTCAAGCGGTTTTCCTGCCTCAGCCTCCCGAGTAGCTGGGATTACAGACGTGCACCACCAAACCTTGCTAATTTTTGTATTTTTAGTAGAGACGGGGTTTCACCATGCTGGCAGGATGGTCTCCATCTCCTGACCTCTTGATCTGCCCGCCTCGGCCTCGCAAAGTGCTGGGATTACAGGCGTCCGCCACCGCCCCGGCTCCTTTTCAATATTTTTTAACAGCCAAGCGTGGTGGCTCATCCTTATAATACCAGCATTTTGGGAGGCCAAGCCAGGCAGATCACTTGAGATCATGAGTTCGACACCAGCCTGGTCAACATGGTGAAACCCTCTCTTTACTAAAAATACAAAAATTATCCAGGCCTGGTGGTGAATGCCTATAGTCCCAGCTACTTAAGAGGCTGAGGCAGGAGAATTGCTTGAACCTGGGAGCTGGAGGCTGAAGTTGGCTGAGATCGCGTCACTGCACTCCAGTCTGGCCTTGTAGTAATTTTCACTTTTATATATTCAAATTTACTAATATTTGGTTTCTTCTATTACATTTTTTAATGTTTGGTGCTTATGTTGTTTTTACCATTTACTTTAACCCATCTGTTATTTATTTTGTCACTTACCATGATGTAAAGATCAATTAATCTTAAGACCTGACACACTTTATTGAGTAATTACTTTATGCCAGGAACTGCTCTAATTCCCTTACTTGGATGAATTCAGTCATTCCTTACAACAATCCCATGAGGTAAATGCAGTTGTTCTCCTCATTTTTACAGATGAGGGAACTAAATTGGCTTAAGGTCACTGAGCAATTGAGTTATGAAGCCTGAGATAGAGCCTGAGTCTGGGCTCTTGACCCTATGGCTGTCCTGCCCCGTGGGCTCCCTTTACCCCAGAAGACACCACATGAGTGGGTTCAAGGACAATTCCCTGTCTGGGCATGGATGTCCCATGCAGTCCCATATACTACTTACCCCTCACCCCTACTAATCAGCAACAAGACCCCATTTCTTGTCCTGATGATGCTTTTACTCACCAGCTCTGGGCTCTTGGTCATTTCCTCTCCTTTAATAAAACAACCGTTTAAGTTGCAGCCGGTCTTGTAGGCTTTAGGGGAAAAAATGCTTTCTTCTGAGCAGCCACCACCCATCGTCATGTAGAAGGAACTAAGAGAGGCAAAGTTTGACATTTCTTCACCAATTGGGAACCATAAACCAAGGCCTTTGTGATGTTCAAAGAGACTGAAAACCAGAAAATAATCTGGCAGAAACAAGGGGTTTTTAAAGGCCAAACAAGCCAAAATCAGATTCTAAGGAAACCAATGTTCAGGATAAGGGACCAGCCAAAGATGGGTAATATAATTGATATCTTTAGCCAAGTTCTTCCTATAGTAAAATTGTTACATAAATATAATTTTTTACAAAATATACCAGAGGCCTTCCCATGGAGGGAGTCCAAGCTGCAGATGAAGCTGTTGGCAGATGAGGCCTTCCCATGGAGGGAGTCCAAGCTGCAGATGAAGCTTGTTGGAACATCTAAATGATCTCTACAACCTACTTTTAGGGCCAGCTCCCACTCATAGATCTTTTAATATGAAGAGATTATTTAGGCAGATGGTGAGGGTAGAGTTCTTGGTAAGGCTTTTCTTGTAATAAAAAGCAGCCCCAAACCATTTTTTTCTAACAGAATGCAGCCTGAAAAGTCAAGCTGCAAGCATAAATAAGCACGCTAGAAGCTTGCACACATAAATGCCGACGGCTGCACCTGGAAGCCAGGTACATCCGATAGGGAAGATTTCTCCTCCCTTCTGTTTGTTGCCAGGTGTGCAGGTGTCATGGCACCAGCCAGGTGAAAAGCTCCATCTGCATAATAAAAGATCAAGGTGGATGGCCAGTTTCTTCAAGGGCTATGTAAGTGGAACAGCTGGTCAAACCAATCCTCTGGGCCCTATGTAAATCAAACACTGCCTCCTCAAACCCCAGACTGCTTCCCGTTGGGAATGGGAGATCTATTTGGAGCCTTCCTCCCTCTGCATGGGGGAGCTGTTCTCTTTTTTCTTCCTATTAAACTTTCTGCTCCTTAACCCACCCATATATCTGTGTCCTTAATCTTCTTGGCGTGAAACAAACCTCAAGCATTTCCCCAAAAGACGGGGGCGATTCACTTTGATCCATTTTGTCTGTCATGGAGTCTGGCTTCCCGCCGAGTTTTCAAACTGGGTGTCCCCTCACTTTCACTCCAACACAGGCCTGCTGTGGATTAGGTCTCGTGGGCAACACAGGGTCCAGAACCATCTGTCCTTGAGGGCTAGGACTAGTTTGAGGGACATGTGTGTAACCAAATGTGGCAGTCCCTGAGGCTGTCGTACACACCTGGACGTATCCATAGCCAGGGATTCTCCTAAAAGTGTCACATATGTAGGGCTGTTGCCTACCTGGGAACGTCTAAGCAGATCTCTCTGACCAAAACCCACAGGGTATGACTGAATTTTTTTTACACCTAGAGTACTAGGTCTCAATCGTTTGCGTAGAAAGCATATCTGTTTTCAATCCAGGGAGAAATGCCAACCCCACTTTCAGGGATTCTTGAAGAAAAGACACCCAATAACCTACGAATATTCTTTCATTTCCTCTCAAAAAAACGTGTGTTGGAGTCTGTAGTAAGCTGACTGATGGTCCTCCTGTTACGGGTGGAGGGTCTCCAGGTCTTGGCATCTTGAACAAATAAATGGACAAAACACACAAAGCAAGGAAAGAATGAGGCAACAAAAGCAGAGATTGAAAAACGAAAGTACACTCCGCAGTGTGGGAGCAGCTCAAGCAGCTCAAGAGCCCAGTTACAGAATTTTCTGGGGTTTAAATATCCTCTAGAGTTTCCCATTGGTTACTCAGTGTACACCCTACCTAATGAAGTAGGGGTCCAAGATCAGTCTGATTGGTTGTGGGAGACTGAACTAAATTCGGGTTGACAGAATTTTTTTTACACCTAGAGTAATTAGGTCTCAATCATGTCTCTCTAATTGTAGAGACTGAACCGAAGTTACAAAGTTACACCACCCCATGCAAACATCTGACTGGTTAAGGAAAGCAAGCAATCTGAGGCTGAAGTGAAGTTACAAAGTTATACCCCTATGTAAATGAAGACTTGGCTCAGGACTAGTCTGATTGGTTGTGGGAGGGGATCAATCAGAGTTACTTTCAATTTTCACCTGCCATGCAGAAAAGGGGCAGGAAGGTGGGAAGAGTTGCAAAGGAAGTAGCCTCTGGTCCTTTTGTTATTTTTGTGTGGAAAGATGGAGTTTTCCTTTTGACTTAGTTCTAGGAAGTCAACCTGAAAGGGCCTTAGGTTCCCTGCCTCCAGACCTTATCTCAGGCTTCACTCCTCTTCACAGATTTCCCTGTCCTCATCACCAGAACCTGTGAATATCTTATTCTGCAAGGTAAAAGGGGCTTTGCAGATGTGATTAAGAATCACAAAATGGGAGATTATTCTGGATTATCTAGATGGGCATAATCACAAGCATCCTTATAAGGAGGCAGGAAGGGTCAGAGAGGAGGCGTGACAATGGAAGTAGCCAGAATGATGCAGCCACAAGCCAAGGAAGATGGGCAGCATCTAGAAGCGAAGAAGGGGCAAGGAATAGGCAGTCCCCTATAGTGACTCTGGAAGCAATGTGCTTCTGCCAACAACCTTGATTTTGGCTTGTGTCCACGATGACAGAATGATATATTTG